TTGGATTCGAGGTTCAGCCTTCCTCTAGAGACATTCCAGCCTCCCCCAGACATGTATAAATTAGAAAAAGTGCATAAATGTGCAAATGTGTATGCGTATACATATATATATATATAGAGCATACATATAGAAACGAAAAAATGTATATATGAATATGTGTATATATACATGTATACATATCCATACATGTATGCATGTATGCATGTATGCATGTATGCATGTATGCATGTATGTATGTATGTATGTATGTATGCATGTATGTATGTATGTGTGTATATATACATATATATATATATATTAATATATATTATATTTATATCGTGCATTTCCCAAGGAGAAACAAACGAAGCAGTATAGATGTAGATATGTTCTCGGAATCATGTGAAACACAAGAAGCTGACGAATTCATGTGCCTCCAACAACAAGAGCTCGGCACATGCAGCCCGAGAAGGGGGCCGTAGAAAGATGTGTATGGAAACCTGGGCTTCGACGGTAACTGGTGCGTTCGCACATCACTGCCATGCCGAGGCCCATGACCGGCGGTGAAGGCGCTCGGAGAAGAGAAGTGCGCCCAAAGTCTCCTCACCCTCCTACACAGATAACTGTGGCGATGTCAGTCCCAAATGTCGAGTCTGAACTAAACCTGCCGATCAAGTAGCCTGCCTCGTCCTTCGCCGAATCTTCTTGCAGAAGACCTCAGCCAATATACGTTGCCTCCATTCCCAAGAGGTCGCTACCCCATGCCATGCCTCAGAAAAGCCCTGGCAAAATGCCGTCACATTGTGGCGCTGACGAGCGGTACCGATGCCCCCCGAAGAAGCCTGGTCATGCATTTCGGCCCATGTCTCGTCATGGATGCATTCTCTTTCTTGACGTCTTAGGTGCGCGCGGTGCTTGCATCTCTTGCCATCCACCATGTCATCATGGCCTGACTGAGCTGGCAATGTCACTGGGCCAGCATTCCCGATGCGAAATGCCATTGGCGCCATTGGCTGAATACCAGCTCCGTTCTTGAACGCTGAACGCTCACAGGATTCTGGGCCCTTGGAAAACTTCAACCACATTTCTTGACATTCTCCATTTCCAGCACGGAGGCCTCAGTGCCCTCAAAGCACTGGGCACACTCAGGTCCGCACAGGAATATGTAATATTATATATATATATATATATATATATAATATTACATATACATATTGTATGTGTAGACATAGATGTAGAAACATATTTACTTTGCAATTCTGCATTATTTGTTTACCTAGTTGTCCAGTGGCTTTTGCTTGAGGAAAGGGGTGGGACCTCATGAAGACATTGCACCCGTGGCATGGAATCGGCACGATTCGACGGAGGGAGGGATGAAGCAAAGTGGGGAAGAGCATATTGGATCATACTGTCCGGCGTGCGCGCCTCACATCCGGGAGCAGAGTGTGACACAGTGTGACAGAGCGTGACACGGGCCGAAGTTGGTTAGGCCGAACATGGTATCACCAGCAGGCCTACACGGGGGTAGCGTCTGGGTGGCCCCATTCAATCTATACGACAGAGCGTAGGCTCGCAGTAGCCCATGGAGGCGTGGTTTGCACTTGAGGGCATCGAAAGCCACGGGCGGACCTTGCTATTCGCTGATTAACACTCTGTCGTGACACTCTACATAAATTCATTAACATATGAATGATGCGCTGCTGCCTGGAGCTGGTCAGGATCGGAAGCCTCGAGGGCGGACCTCTTCTTGGGGTCACATCACATTTCCAAAGCTTTGGAGTTTTTGTGGCGTGCCGCGATGTGCCACGCACAGCGCGCACAGCGCCTCATCCGACCCAACTCAATGCGAGCAGCTCGCTGGACTGCTCTGTCAACCTGTTCCACGTTTATGCACGTTTTGCATGTTGCAGGATGATCATGCTCATAAAACTCGAGGCTAAAGAGGCGCATGACTGAGGCCCAAACCTTTAGCCACAGCCTGAGTGGGTAAGAAATGCCGAAGTTGCAATCAACTCTTCGCCGCTTCAAAACAAGTCTCAAGCACAAAAACCTCCTCTTTTTGCTAGACCGAGACAGCGACGGCTGCCTCGCTGTGGGCCTCCCCACAGCAGCCTCCATCCGCCCAGCCCAGGCCGCCTCGGAGATTTTGCTCTTGAAAAACACCTTTGCTAAGGCTGGCTTCAGGGACGGCTTCGTGCTGAAAGTGCCATATGCCCGGTGCGGCGACTGTTTTGAGCCGGCTCTCGCGCATGAGTCCATACTGACGGTGAGATGCGGATCCTTGGAATGTCATCCCACTTCCAAACCAGTCCTTGTCAGATTTTTCAGCATAGCAAAAGGGGCCTTGAACTTTCAGGATGCCTTTCCAAGTACAAGCAGAACCATCACTTCATTATCCAACAAGCAGCCCCGCTCAAGACACGGAGCAGCTCGGTGCAACTTGCTGTTCAGCAACTGCCTCGTCCCTCAAGAGCTCGACTGGCTCGACTCTCGCAGGGACCACTGCAGAAGCTGCAAGGCATCGAAAAATCCACCACGACAGAGAGCAGCTGTCTGAGACAGCATGGTGTCGTGTCAGCTTGAAGGTCACACCCCTGCTGTGGGATACTGTCAGAAACCTTTCTCAGAACCTGCAAAGTGTGAAGAGGAGCATTGCGGTCATTACCAGGCGCACCCTGGCCGGAGCCGCGCCGCTTTTTGTGTGCTCTTTGATGGAAGTCTGACGAACTGCAGTTCCATTCTCCTGAAGACGAAATCCGAGCACAGCAGCTGACGCGTTTGACGCATTTGACCCTCGGCGCCGTGTAGCCCGGCCTTGTTCTCGACCTTGATGTCTAAATTAGACACCTTGACCTCAAATGCAGCTGCCCCATGCTTGCCCAAGACCACATGGGATGCAAATTCGGAGATCTGGGCACATTGCTGAATAGGGAATGCTTTTCGAAGCAAAGATCTTCTCGTGGACATGGGAAGCCGACCCACCATCCTCGACAACAGATTCGCTACTCAAGCCTTGACGAGTCGGGAGCAGGGAAAGTGCCCGGCCAGTTTGGAAACAGCATTGACGACATCCTCGTTGGTCTTCCCGCTGATGCCTCAAGTTGACGGAGCGGAGGTACTGCACTGTATCCGAGCGATAGCAATGTTAACCCATACTTTTTAAGCCCTGTATGACACCCTCATTTGCAGCGTAATCCTGATGATCTCAAGACAACACATACCCTCAAGAAAAATTGCCCTCACAGCCATGCGACCTGCAGTCTCTAATGGAGGCCTCATTTGGGTCCGATCCTAGAACCAGCGTGGGGCTGCGACTGGGTACAACGACGTACGTGATGCTCACCTCATTCGTGTCACTTGCAGGCGCCTGACGCCTGCAACAGGGCACATCAAGGTGGCCGTGATCCATCAGATCTTCTAAGAAGGATTTTTCGAATTCGATTCAATTGGTGTCACCGCCACTCTGTACAAAGCCTAGAGATGTGCAACATTTCGTCCTTTTCGCCCGGCCCTTATACCTATCAAAGTCATCCTAAGTCAGCATTTCTGCGCCGTCTGCGCCTGGCCATGGCTGAAGACTTTCTGCTCATCTCCAACATCGACAGCGAGTTTGCAGAGGCCTTTCCAAGGATCCGATCCAGCATAGTTCTCACTTGTTGGGAGCACTGCCATGTGCTACGATCAACCGCGAAGCGCCGCAAAAGCTCAGAAACCAGCTGACGTGAGCTCCACATCCTTGATGACGACTGCATCCTTGGACAGAACCCGTGACGCCGTGGGTTTGCCGACCCCAACAATGAGAATTGAAATCCGATCTCTTTTTCCAGGGAATGGCAACTCAAATCTTGCAGCCGATGGCATAAGGCTGTGGCAGGGTCGACACCAAGCTCTTCAGCCAAGGCATCCTCAGACAAGGACATTTACGCCACATTCGTCCCACTCAAATCACAATCCTCACCTCTCGTTTGCACCCCCTTTCCTCCCACCCAAGTTCGACTTTTGGACACTCTGCGCCGGTTATCGCCCACTGTGCCGGTGCCCAAACCCGATAAACGGCAAAACTCACGTGTAACATTTATTTGCGTAGCTCACTGACATTGAGGACGGTGCACGGACAGCCTCGAGGGCTGCTTCATCGCGCATGAAGTCCTCGGCGTCACTCACCTGCAGCGAAACACCACGACGTCGGCATGTCGCGAGACACTGTGCAGAGCACCCACAGCAAGAAGGTGCACAAAGGGTTGTGAACGGGTAATTGAATTCATTCCATGTCACGACTCCGCCTAGTCGTGACCTTAAGGACTTATGAAGTTACCTCTCACTGAAGACTTGTCTCGAAAACAACGGACCGGATCACTTAACACCTGTCTCGAAAACCACGGACCGAAACAAGAATACTTGCAACGAACCTCGAGTGTCTCACTGCCCTCGACCATCTCTGGTTCCTGCAAACGCCAAAGCCAGCGCATGCTCGTCGATGCTCGTAGGTCTGCTGTTGTCTGGTTTCAACTGGCTGCGGCTTTTGCCATCCTCAAGTGCCCTGCTGCACACCGCGGGCCAACGAAGCTACTGCTTTGTGTGCTGCCGGGGATGTGGGTTTGGCCGTTTGGGGGCCTTAGGGCGAAGACTCTGAGCCGAGTTGGTTGAGATGCGGAGAACACTTCACGAGGAGGTCTGTAATAATCCCCTTTTGGAAAATGAATTGTGTGCTTGCAGGCTTATGAAGTGTGTTTAGGGTTCAGGGTTGAGATGGCATGTTGTCAAAGTCCTGGTCGGCGATGTGCTCTGCTTGCTCCTCCGTGACGACCCTTGGCGCGAGGCGTTCTTGCACGTGAGATCGCAACGACTTTCCACTCTTTCCCACTCTTGACCACTTGCTCCACCCCTCATCGCCAAGAGCTCCACGGCCGATGCACCGCGGCTGGCAGTCCAAGACTTTCGGTGTCCTATCACTCTGCGAAGCAACATAAAGCACTGCGGGCCTGCAGTATCCTATGGTATCCTGCACCTCCTCACTCAGTTCACTCAGTGGTCAATGGGTAATGGCTAGCACTGCTAGCGGGGACTCCGGGTGCCATTTGGACAAAGACGTTCACGAGGTCCAGTGTGCCGTTGCCACCAGCACGGGTGTAGGCCACGGAAGCAGCCGCTGCCTGTTCCTGACGGACGGGCACGACTAATTTTGTTTGTTGACTCGTGCTGCATCCTCTGCATCCGGTCTCAGACACCCGTGAAAGCAGACTGTCCTGCGGCGTAGCTCCAGCAGCTTTGGCCTGAAACTTGCAAAGATCTTGCACTTGCCATCACGTGCACTATCTCCCAGGTGGACATCTAGGACTGCATGCGGCCCTGCAACTGCAGCAACAGCGACGTCAGCGGCTTGCGATGCATTGGCGCCCTGCTTCTTGGCAGCGTCGGATGCAGCAACAGCAGCGGCTGCAGCTTGCTCCTCCGGCGTCGCACCTTGTGCCTTGGCCGACACAGCAGCCGCCGTGCCCACTGACTCCACATCCGCGCCCGACTCCGAGGCAGACTCGCGGGCGGCACTGGCAACAATCACGGCTTCCTCCGCCTTGCTGAGGTTCGCCTCACTTGCCACCTTGGCAATTGCCTCCACCGCGTCAGCACTCGCCTTGGACGCATTGCCTCCACTGGACCGGGCGGCGGCGCTGGCCGCGGCCTCCACGGCCAGCTCCACCTGCTTTGTCGGGTTCTGACCGGCCGCCCGCGCCGCCTCCTGCGCTGCTTCGGCGGCCAACGTCGGATTGCCTCCAGGCGCCGCAGCCGCGGCCTGCCCTGCAACCACTGCCTCCAAACAATGAGAAGCAATGACAATGACAAACAACAGCATCGATCCGGCATCAGCACCCACAGCAATCCTGAAACACCCATAGCCCACAATGCGTTACTGCTGCCTGCTCCTCTGCTGTGGCATTCTGTGCAGCGGCTTCTTTGGCTGCAGCAACAGCAGCCTCCCGCGGAGGCTTCGGAGGGTTCACCTGCAGCTGGCAAGATGCCAATTCAACACCCCCTGCCCCTGCTGCGAAGGAATGCCACTTACCACAGATATTCGCCACATTGGGCATTTGGGGAGCAACATCGTTGCAGGATCAAGATTTCCCAGGACAACACTCCTTGACAACATGAACACGAACGTACCAGACGAGCGAGCGGCCCCGGCAGACCCGGCAGGTGGGCCCGTGACCTCAGCATTAGGGCAGAAATGATACATAGCCAAGATGTGACACTAAATGGGATGTGGATGAAGGAAGATGACATCTACAAACCACAGCGTTAAACAATTCAAGTTAATTCAAGGTGAATATCCACGAACTGCAAAATGGCTGAGAGAAAAAGGATGATGCAAACAATAAGAGGACGAAAGAGAAGGAAACCTGCGTGCGTCATGAGCATCGAGAGCGCCGTGTGCTTTTGTCGAGGAGCTGTGGGCTCGGTGCCGAAGCCTTCGACTGAACTTTTGTTTTCCTGGCTTTCCTGAGATGAAGAAGAGTATAAGATTCTGATTCTTAGAAGCTTCCAAAAAGCTCCAACACATCTGTGTGAAATGCGCGCATGTTTCAGCTTTTTCTTCCGAGGTTCAGTGAAGGGATGGCTCACATTGCAAGGCAGCACAGGTGGTGCACCAGGCAGCTCGCAATCCTGATCCATGCAGACTACTATGCAGAAGATCATGTACTGCATGTACTGGACAAACACAGATCGCATCCGATCGCATGGGACCGCATCCGGCCACAATACAGGCTGCAACGATCTTTCCCGATCCTCCACGTCACTTAGGTTGCCCGAGCATGGGGCACCACCTTAAAGCGAGTGGAGGGAATGGCATGATTGGAGGATGTGTGCTTTGAATGATGCCTTCCAAGGGCAAAAGTTGGCCAAAGCGTTTCCCGCTGAGCATCTTGGGCCAAGGAGCCAAACTGCGCTGAGCCCTTCTCGCGGCTTCGCAGGCGCATCGCCTCAGAGGCTTCACAGCAAACTTTTCACGCAATGCTGCGCAAAAGCGCGTCCGATGTCTGACGCTCCCCCCGAGCACATTGCCGGACCACAGGGTTGGAGTTGGCAGCTTCCCCAGTCACCCCAGTCCTCGAACTGGCAATCCTCAGTCCAAGGCAGCAATCCAGAATTTCAGACAAGTGACGGGAGTCTCCTTGTGATTCACATCAGACTCCCCATACTTTCCTAATCCAAACTGCATCTAGCTTCAATGGGACAGGGTAGCTCCGTATCGCAGATCTCCTGGCATCGCAGGCAGGACAAGGAATCGTGGTTCGTTATGCTCGCATTTGTCGCTTTCCTCTTCCGAAAACTAAACCGGCCGTGACAATTCGCCGTGTCACGACGTAGTGTTGCTGGCTGGATTGCCACTTATAGCACGGCATCTCGTACATGCCAAACGCTTCAAGCTCTGTCTTTGTCGTCACTTTTTATTGTGGTTGCAAGTTGCGTGCTTTGCCCGCATGCCGCGTAAGACCTCATCCTATCCTGTGCAGCCGCAGCCTAGTGACATCGGCAACTTATCGCGGTCATTGTGCTTGTGCCAATTTGCCGAGCCCTGTCAAACGTGTTGGGCCCCTTACACAAAGATATGTTTTTAGAATGTGGTCCACAATGTCCTTTACTTCCTATCGCCGACAGTCTTCAAACGATATACTGCCGCTCAATGGCATTCGACAGTACATAACACGATTCTTTGTGACACATGTGCGTGTACGCGTGCGTGTGTGTGTGTGTGTGGGGTGTGTGTGTGTGTGTGAGTGTGTGTCTGTGTGTGTGTGTGTCTGTCTGTCTCTGTGTGTGTGTCTGTCTGTCTCTGTGTGTGTGTGTGTGTGTCTGTGTGTGTCTGTGTGTGTCTGTGTGTGTCTGTGTGTGTCTGTGTGTGTCTGTGTGTGTCTGTGTGTGTCTGTGTGTGTCTGTGTGTGTCTGTGGGTGTCTGTGTGTGTCTGTGTGTGTCTGTGTGTGTCTGTGTGTGTCTGTGTGTGTCTGTGTGTGTCTGTGTGTGTCTGTGTGTGTGTGTGTGTGTGTGTCTGTGTGTCTGTGTGTGTTGTTCTGGTTGTGGTGTTGGTGTCTGTGTGGGTGTTTGTGTGTCCTGTGTGTTGTTGCCTGTGTGTGTGTCTGTGTGGTGATGTCCGTGTGTGTGTCTGTGTGTGTGTCTGTTTGTGTCTGTGTGTGTGTCTGTGTGTGTGCTGTGTGTGAGTCTGTTCCTGTGCGTGTCTGTGTCTGTGTGTGTGTCGGTGGGTGTCTGGTGTGTGTGTGTCTGTTGGGTGTGGTCTTGTGTGTGGGTGTGTGTGTGTGTCTGTGTGTTGTGCCCTTGTGTTGTGTGTCTTTGTGTGTGGTCTGTGTGTGTGTCCCTTGTGTTGGTCTGTGTGTGTGTCTTTGTGTGTGTGTGTGTGTGTGTGTGTGTGTGTGTGTGTGTGTGTGTGTGTGTGTGTGTGTGTGTGTGTGTGTGTGTGTGTGTGTGTGTGTGTGTGTGTGTGTGTGTGTGTGTGTGTGTGTGTGTGTGTGTGTGTGTGTGTGTCTGTGTGTGTGTCTGTGTGTGTGTGTGTCTTTGTGTGTGTCTTTGTGTGTGTCTTTGTGTGTGTCTTTGTGTCTTTGTGTGTCTTTGTGTGTGTGTGTGTCTTTGTGTGTGT